AACAAGATGCTGATGCCACAAGTGAAGGCCTTAAGTTCAGATTTTAGAGCCCCAGCTATACTCTCGCCATTTTTCAATACTCTCTTTTTTGGGGCCTACATGGCATGGTGGGTTATGTCAGTCACAGCGGAAGACTGCACAGTCTAATACAGTTAGACCACTTCTGCATTATTAGGGCGAAATGTTTTCTTTTCACTTTTTTCCACTTTATTTTCTTTGATATGGCATTAATTTTAAAGCTTAACTTTTAGCTAAGGGCAATCTGAAAACAGCTGTGCATTGTGGCAGGGAGGAGGGGCGTCCCTGCAGTTATACACTTTTGTTTCATGGCTCAATTGCTACCCAAACAGTCCTGGACACAGTGACCCACAAATTATTTTTCCCTTAAACTGATTTTTCCAGTCAGTTCAGAATGTTAGTTACAGAGTCTTGTATTATTTTCCCCATAGGGCTTTCCTGCTCACAATTCCTAAATAAGCAGATAAAAACTCCATTTTCCCCACAGAAATATTTAAGTTGTTGAAGCTTTCTCTTACCATAATTATTTCCTAAAAATGCAGTAGTCAAATTTTCCTGAATATTTTTACATTAAATGGGGTGTAAAAAACTTGGCCCTCGCTCTTTTAAGGTTGTAAAGCAGATTTCTGAATTGAAAGAACTGATTGCTTTGTATTACTTGCTTTCTTTGTTAGCTTCCCACCGGTTTGATTAAATAAAAATATCACTACCATTTAAATGAGGAAGTCCAACTGAAAACCAGGATTTCTTATATCTTCAAGAATATAGCTACTAATATTTATTAAAATAAATCATCTATTTTACTCTTCGCCTAAGAACTTTGGGAATTGGAGCGGGTAAGGAGGAAGGTCTTGGCAAGAGCAATTTGATGAGAAATGAATTAATTCAATTATTTTCATGGTGTGGATCAATAATAGCCTCCACTGAGGCCCCTTGGCCTAAAGGCAGCTAGATAATCAATAGGATCACACAGAGGCAGCTCTCCTCCTCCAGCGGCCTCTCTGATCTTCACGCCTGTGTAATTCTAATTTATGTCAACTAGAAATCAAAGAAATTCCAGGAGGCTTTGGTCATAGGATAGTTGGGTAGAACTTTCACAATCTATTTATGTCTGTTTCTTAAGTAATGGAGGCCCATGGCCCAACTAGTGCCTCTGCTGGCCAAAGAGAAGAAGCTCTCAGGAAAAGGATAGTTAGCTGCTCAAGGACAATGTGGAGGAGTGGCTTTGAGTAAATCAAAGCACACTTTCTCCTCCTCAACAACTCTGCAGGGACATAAAAACTAAGGATTTAAGCAAGATCAAGCCTTGCCAAGAGTGGCTCCCTCAATAATGCTCTTTAATGATACCCCAGACGCTGGCATTTTCAAATCAAATGAACAGTGTATAAAATTAGTTCTGCATGAAGTTAAAAAACTTTGAAAGTGAAAGGGAGCTTTTAAAAGCTCCAGCGTTTCTCCATCCAACTGCGTTTCACAAGGGTTTGGCATTTGAGAATTGCTACGTTTATGATGTTATTCACTGCTCATAATTCAGGCCCTATGTCTCCAAACTTCGTATTAACAAACACTGCAGAGGTTTCCCAAGTTAGCCTGGCTGCTCCTAGTGAGGTCTGGTTTCTCAGCCAGTGCTGTACTCCTGTGCTCCCTCCCTTCTCATCAACCTTCTTACCCCAACATTTTTCATTAACCTTAAACACTGCACTTCCATTCGCCCTTCAGCTTACACATAAATTTTTTTTGTCCTTTTCAGTTTTGTTTTCCATTCAAACTGCCTTGTAAGAAACAAGGAAAACCATCACAGAAGAAATGTTATCCAGAGAGAGTCTAGAATTCACTATAGTTGTGAAAATAATTTCCATAACCAAAGTCACCATTTTTAATTGTGAAAACCAGAGTTTCCATATTGCTCTTATTAGAGAGTCCTATTGATTATGTACAAGCATTCTTTTTTTTTTTTTTTATAAACTAAATCACTAAATAAATGTGAGCTAAGTTGATTGGTGATTTCAGGTCAACTCTAATTCCCAAGGTCAAGTAAGCCTTTGAACAGTCTTTAAGAATATAAGCTCACCGCACTTCATCAAAGCCTCTCACATAGCGTTTTCTTCTCTTGGTTTTTACAATGCACTAAAGTTTGGGAGATTATGTGGCATCAGCTTCAAAACCTTCTAACATGCTTATCCAACCAGCAATCGGAAAAGCTACTTAAACAAGGGGTTCTCACTGCACGAACTTTACAACTGCATGGGAAACAGAATTTGTTGAATGACTGGAGCATTCCTCCCTAGCAATCAGTGATGTTGTAGCCAACCAGATTTATTATAGTTTAGCTTAGACATCATTTGATAATCCAAGTACATGTTCCTTTCAGCTGCCAAGAATATGTTTAATGCTTTTCATCTGTTCTCTGTTTACTTGGGGAGAGGGAGAAGAAAAACACTTTTCCTCACAACAAGGAAGAAAAATATTTTGCTATTCCTCACAAGCTGACATGATGAAAAAGGCAGTTTTTTGCCTTTTAATGTAACACAAGTGAATATTAATACAGATAAAAAGATTCTTACTTCTACGGAAAAATAAAACAAAACTTCATAACAAAATAGAGAAAAATGATGATTAATATATCATGGAAAAGTCATAGAGGAAAAACAACCCTTACAAAGAAGAAACACATAAATAAAAGGATGAAACTTTCTTTTCAATGATCAAAAAGACTAGTATAAATGAATCAAATTAGCATGCATCTTAAAATATTTTTGAAATAATGGAAAAGATAATTTGGGGAACAATTTGAACATCTCCCTATTTTCTATTTTTCTATCTTCTACTTTATTTTTCTCTATATATTATATACACTTGAATTTCTGCATGAGAAAACATCCAATGTTTAAAGCTTGTGTGTCTGACATTTCGTTTAACATTATGTTCTCAAGTTGCATCCATTTTCCTATAAATGCCTCGAGTTTATCTTTCTTTGTGGTACAGTAGTACTCTCTGTTTTCTTTATTCATTCATCTGTTGATGGACACGTGCTATTTCTAAAATCTAGCTATTAAAGTAGGGCATGGTGGCTTACTTCTATAATACTAGCACTTGGGAAGCTGATGCAGGACAATCACCAACAAGTCTGAGACCAGCCTGGGATACAAAGTGAGCCCAAGGTCAGAATGAACTGCATAGTGAGACTCTGACTCAAAAAAAAAAAAAAAAAAAAATCTAGCTATTGCAAGTTGTGCTGCATAAACATGGGTACATATACATCTCTGTAATACAATGATTCTTGTAAAGTATAGCTCTACAAAAATGGTTTTGTAAAGTATAGATTCCAAAATAAATGGGCCTAAGTGAAATTTATGGCATATGAAGGAAAATGCACCTGAACTTAGTATTTCTCAGAGTCACAGGATCACAGAACATGAATGCAGGGACACACAAACCCTACAGTCTCATCCTGCTCCAGTACAGGGGGCCCACTGACACATTTCTCAAGCAGGGGTTAACAGTCTATTTCCTGAGAGCTTCTGCTCCTCCACTGGCTCCATGTGGTATTCAGAAACAGGGAAAGGACTTCCACTAATGAGTTTTACTTACTGATTAGTCTTAGGCCCAAATTAGTTTTGCTCTTTAATGTCTTTTTGGCACAGATGATCACAAATTCAGACCATGGATCTTCTGTATGCACTAATCCTAGCTTTCTTCTGTTTCTTGTTCTACTGTTAGTTGATTTTACTTTCTTTTTTTCCTACTTGTGTGAATGGTCTTTTGTTCAACTTGCCCAATTTTAGCACTGCAAATCTTTCTTTATCTCTTTGCCTGAATAGATGGCTAGTAACTTTATTCTAAATACATAATGTTCCATGGAGGCATTAGTACTCCTTGGTAAAGTGTGCAGAAGGGACAATAATTGATATCCTTGTAGAGACAATAATAAACTTAATTTTGAATTCTGATGATGGAAAAATTATAAAGTCATTTTTTCTAAAATCAATTTATAATTTTCCCATTATTTTCATTTTCTTTTAAAACAAAATAGCAAGCTGTATAATTTTTTTCTTTTGGAAATTCTAATATCAGAGAATAGGTCAATGGCATTAATGATAAGAATAACCAATAAACAGTTTATTTTATGCATGTTGAACATTATTCTAAGTGCTTTGCATAAGTTAATTCATTTCATGCTCACAATTTTACAGGATAGGTACTAGTGTCAGCCTCATTTTACAAATGGAGAAATGAGTGTTGCCCAAGATGACACAACTAGTGAGTAACTATTAATTAGATTTGTTACAGGGAAAGCACGAACATCACAAAGTGTAAAACAACTGTCTAGTGCCTGGTATTCAATATTTATTTTCCATGTTATATAAAACATCATTTCCCAAACTTATGCTCACACTCCTGGCCAGTTCTTCAGACCTTCACTGGAACCTCTGGGATCACAGGAATTTTTATGTGATAAGAGTCGCATCTGACATGTAGAAACACAAATTCCCACACATCTCCCTCAACAGCCTTTTCTTGGCCCCCAAATGTCAGGAAGACATAGACGCTGAGCATCAAAATTACTCACTTAAGAAAAAAAAATTATATTAGTCTTTCCACCTTATTGTTGCAGGAAATTTGGAAAACTGAATAGAATTTTACTGTTAGATCTTCCAATTTGCCATGCAATCTTTTTAACTTTGGTCCATGGAATTATAACTATGCCAAAATCTAAGTTGACTGTGTATATATTTGCCTTTTCATTATGCTTAAGCACAAAATTCATTATTGAGCAGAGAAATGAAAAATAATATCAGACTAGAAAACCAGGCCAACTATATATATATATATATATATATATATATATATATAGAGAGAGAGAGAGAGAGAGAGAGAAAGAGAGAGTGAGTGAGTCAGGGAAAGGAATGGAAAGAAAATACGTATCAAGCGCTCCATGAGTATACTGATATGTAGAAAACAACTTGATAGACAGTGCTTACTTTATCGCATCTCATCAGCCCCAGATATCTCAGAGATTTGCTGCTTTGTGCAATCAGGGTGGCTCCTTGATCAGTAATTTCTTTACACCACCCCACATCCACGGTCTCTATTGTCATGCTGTATCGCCCAATGGCTGTCAATGCTGCAAGAAGAGAAGGACAGAGAAAGAGCATAAATGTTAACAGTGTAAGGTATCTATTTTATTATGATGGTTTCTCTCATTTCTTCACTAAATTTGTCCCTCAAATGCTGTGTGTAAATGAGCATTTTATGAACTAAATTAAATTTGAAATGCTTCAGGAAAGACTGTCGCATGACAAACCGTTTTATAAAATGAATAATCATTCCCTAATCTCTCTTTCACTAGATACAACCTTCTAGCACTTTTACTCGTTATAAGGTTACCTATACTTTCAACCATCCATGTTTGCAACAGGAATAAATTAAAATGAATCACAGATGTAACATCACAAAAACTCTTAAGTACTGACTAAAGTTTATCCAAAGTAATTTGAACAATATTTTAAAAGAAAAATCTATGTAAATACCATTTTGAGGTGTATTATACTGAATTTACCAATATGCATAATTTTTTCCATCTGTTTATGATCTGTAAAATGTAAGAGTATATAATATTTTTCATATTGGTTGTTTTTTTTTTTTTTTGGATCTTAGGAGTTGAGTATATTATGCATATAGTTGGATTTAAATGATGCCATGCTATAGTGCAGGAAAGGGAATTCATTTGTTAGGGTAAATTTCCTTACTATATCAGAGATCTTCCTTCTACTAAAATAAAATGAAGCCTGCCATCAGTACTATGGCAGTATGTCTGGTGTTCTTGGCTGTTCAGCACTGCATGACTACTAAAGTGCTGGAGATTTTCCTATAATCTCTGATGTACACTACTCATGCCTGCAAGAGCTTCCCAATCTGTCACCCCATCAGGATGTAAGTCTTTTTCAGGGATTTCTCATTTGATAGGTGTGCATATGTCTACATTTAAGAAACATAAAAATAGATTTCAATACCTCCAGCAAGAATAAGTTTATGGTGCATTAGTATATGAACAAAACCCTTGAAAAACATTCCACAAGTATTAAAAAAGAAACATTGTTGCTAATTATTTCTTATTCTAAGAGAGCCATAAGCTCATTTCTGTAAAGTTAAAGGTGGACAATATTTTCTAAAGTGTATTGACTGGATTGAGAAGAACAGAATGAATTACTTACATAAATAAAAATGACCCACAGAAAAGATTATTTACCAAACTCTCTTTGCTAATTAGCTCAAAAAATTTTTTCTTACTAGAAAACTCATATACATGCATCCCAGTATCTAACTGCTGCGAAGCAGTCAGATATTTAATGTTTATAAAAACAACAATCATGATCCTGGAGCTTTCCAGTAAAAATACCATATAGAAAGAATTTATTTTTTAAGTTCCTCATGCCTCTATTTTGCTAATGCTTTCATTTTTGTTCATGCTGTGTTAGCATTTAAAATTTTTTAGGTGGGGAGGGACATGGTACAATTTTCCAACTATTAATGGTTTGCTGATATGTTTTGAATAATATTTGCATGCAACAGGACAATATTCCTTAGGTTTCTAACCTAAGAAAATTGTTGAGCCACTTGGCATTGTCATAACTTTTACTAATTATGATATCCTGAAGATCTACAATTAATGAAGTAGGAAAAACGTAACAGAAATCACTTTCAGTAAAAATCATTCAAATCTTGAGTTTTAAAAGATGACCAAATATACATTTCAGGAGAATGTTGGTAGATTGTGTACAGTTTTTATTGAGATTTAAGACTGGAACATGAAAGTCCTGAACTATCTAGAAACAGGGGAATCAACTGATATGAGGAACTTTCAAAGTCTGCTCTGTAAGCAAATAAAGTATCAGTAGTACCAGAATCTAGATGTTAAAACCAGGGGCTTTGGTATTTTCTTTTTCCTTTCTTGTTCAAATTAAAATACACAATAAATAAAACAACTGAAGAGGGATCAGGGTATTTGGTTTTTGTTTCGACCTATCTCTATTTTTTAGTGGAATTAAACTACTACTCCTTAACTCATTTATGTATTCAATAAGTACCTCATGAGCATTAAACCATTTCTGGCAACAACTTATTGACTATTTTCCATGTGTTGGACCTTGGGCTAAAAATTTCAGGTACATTATCTGATTTAACTCTCATAATAACTATATGAAGTCTTACTGGTATTTCCACCCTAAAGATCAGGAAACTGAGTCATGCAAAGATTGAATAATTTCCTTGTCACAACACAGCAAGCATGTGAGTGGATTTTAAATTGGGAGGCAGCTCCCAGCCCATGCTGCACATCTGAAATAATGAATGAGAAACCTGGGGCCAGACGCCTAACAATTCTAATAGGTTTCACTTGCCAGACTGGAACTGTAGTGTGAGACACAGATCCTTCAATGGGTACTGAGAATATGGAGATTTATGGAGCTTAACATCCAGGTAAGCGGAGCTGGAGGGGAGGACAGAGAAGTGGAGCTGGGCAAAAAGATACTAGTCAGTAAACGGTCACAATAAAAACAAAACAAAACAAAACAAAACAAAAAAAAAACTGATTCTGCATCTCTTCCTTTTTTAAATTAAATTTCTTTTCACCACTTAGATTTCAAATCAAAGGTCAGCTCCTCATCCCAACATTAGAACTAAGGATGTTCTTATCCCTTTACATACTTTTTTTTTTATTGGTACCAGGGATCAAACTCATGACTGTCTGCTTGCAAGGCAGGCGCTTATGCCGCTGAGCTAAATCCCCAGCCCTTATTTACATATTTTATATGGCCCATCTTTCACATTAAAATAACAGCTCTTGTTCTTGTGTCCAGAAACCAGCACATGCTTGATGCAGAGTGGTTTCTGAAAATATTAACTGAATACACCAATGACTATAACCTCTAATTCGACAGGGGAGGAGCTTCAAGGATGCCCTTACAAAATAGCCAGGTTACATATTCAACTGTGAGCTAGAACTCTCCAGAAAAACAAAGCAGCAAGGGCAAGTATAATGGACAATGGAAATAGCAAGTGTAAAGGTAGAGAGATGAGAAAGGACTAGGATGCTGTAAATCATTCTAAGGGAGTGAAATAAAAACAAGTTCAAGATTATGTGCATGATTCATTCCAGAAATATTTATTCAATGACTAATTATACTGGGTAGGCAAAAGGGATAGAGAATAACAAAAATAAGCAGTATTTAATGTCACAATGCCTATATTCTAGAAGAACAAATAGATGATAAATGAATAAACATAAAAGTAAATCTAATTCTAAGTTGTGACAAGTGTTGAGAAGGAATTAGACTAAGTACTATCAGATAGAAAAACGTTTAGATTTGGGATGGGTGAGCACAGATATGCCCAATGTAATTATTTGTAATACTTACAATGGCCCCATAGAAAAACACCCACTTAAGAGAAGAAAACTTGAGATGAAAGAGCTAACAAATGCTCACATCTAATAAAGAGGCAGAACCAGTGTGGAAACTGAGATTGCTTGGCTCCAGTGCCAGTTCTTCTTGTGCCATGAGGTTTACAGTGTTGCAGTGAAGGTTGTCATGTTCGGAATATATTTTTTGTATCACTATTTAGGAATTAAAATTACAGGTTAAAGGTAGCTAAGAATTTACATTATAACTATAGCAGAGAACCCATGAAATACTTTGTTTATAAAATGTATATGAAATACTAATTTATCTTTCTTTGAATATTTAGTGCCTTTGGAGACATTTTTCACTGTTATTCATGAGCTGGCTATGAGACAACATAGCAGGATATATTTTCAAGTTCAGTTCTAATCATGCTATTAAGATGTCTGACATCAAAATGACATTTAACTTCTCTAAGTCTTGGCTTTTTTACCTGGACAGTGAGATGTTAACTACACATTATGCCTATGGAAGGTTAGTTTGAGATTCGGAAGAGATGATACATGTAAGGGACTTTTCACTATGATTTATTAATATTTCCCCAGCCCCATTCCTAGTGGTACAGTAAATATGAAATCAAAAGGAAGAGTTTTGAAAAATAAAAAAGCTCTGGAAGGATAAGAGTACTTAATCATTACGTCACTGCTAGAGTTCTTGCCTATCTACTTCCTACTGACGATTGTGAAGTTGTAGACTGCACTGGATGGTAGGGCTGCAGATGTATGATTACTGCCATCATTAGGACCTATTGACACTTTACAATGGTATTTATTGAGCCTTGAAAAAGGATACATTAATTATGCAAGACTAATTCTTACTTCCAAAGCACTTGTAATGTTTATGTGCTAAGTGCAATTAATAAAGAAAGTTAAATTCAAAAACTTATGTAAATTAAGTAACTGTCATTCAGTTCCTTATATGCTGATGAAGGATACACACTAAGCTACTAATAGGCATTTATGTAAGCATACAGTTGAAAAGTGGCTCAAAGATTCACATGCACACTTAATTTTAACAAAGAAATCCCACTTGTAAGATCTGCCTTGAAGATACAGCTTTAATAATTAGAATTACATAAACCCAAGTTTATTTATTAGACTACCTGGTGTATTGCAAAGTAATAGAAATTGCCTAAATTCCAATCAAAGGAAAGTGGCTAAATAAGCTATTCTATACTCACACACTTTAACAATATGAAGCTGTAAAAAATAAAAAAGGGAGATTAGTAAAAACTAATTTGGAATGATTTCTTCCAAATTACTAAGTGAAAAACAAAATACAAAAGAGTTTATATGGTATTATATAAATATAAGACAAGAGGGAATATAATATTTTTATATTAATTTGTTCATTCATGCAAAAGTATTACTAAAGAGATAAACCAGAAACTACAGAAGATCGTTTAACTATAAGGACTGGCGGAAAAGGCAAAGAAAGAAGATAGCCCACAAAGTGGGATTGAGAGGTTGAGGAGGGAAAGACACTTCTTAAAATATATCTTTTTATATAGCTTTGACATTCTGAACCATAATAATCATTGACATACTTCCCAAAATAAAAATGTGAGGGAACCCAAAGAGAAGTACATACAGTAATAAATTAATTAAATTGTATTGGAAATGTATCCTGAAAGGGATAGAATCAATAATTAATTTAAATTGCCAAG